AGCAGCCTGTTCTAGTGAGGGGGGCCCCTGCCTGTGGCAGGGGTTGGAGCTGGAGGAGCTTTAAGGTCCCTTCAACACAAACCAGGTTGGGGTTCTATGATTCCATGGCCACCTGCACGTTGGGAGCTCCAGCACAGTTGTCCCTCCTCACACCTCCTCCTTGCTCCAGGCAGTCACCAAAGTGCCACCACCCAACCCTGGCATGTATTTGGGACAAGGAGGTATGTGCCAAATAGCTGGGCTGGGATGGGCTGGGAGTGCCCTGTGCTGTCGGCACCATTGCTGCAGGGACTGGGAGTGACGGGGACCAGGACCAGGGTCTGGATGTGCAGGAGATGCTGATAGGAGAAGAGAATGCCTGGTCCTGTCACTGCTCCTCTGTGAGGTCCAGAGCATTTAAGCATTGTCTGGTCCTGGGCTCTATTGGGTGGCTTCATAGAATCATGGAATGGTTTGTGTTGAAGGGACCTTAAAGCTCATCCAGCTCCAACCCCTGCCACGGGCAGGGACACCTTCCACTAGAGCAGGTTGCTCCAAGCCCCTGTGTCCAAGCTGGCCTTGACCACTGCCAGGGATGGGGCAGCCACAGCTTCTCTGGGCAACCTGTGCCAGCGCCTCACCGTTTCTTGAAAGCCCACCCCTTCCAGCCAAACCCCATCCTCCCAAACACAGAAGCCTATTCCCATGTGCAATCACATCTCCTCCCGCTTTCATGAGCACCCTCAGGACAGCAACTCCACTGACCTGGCCATGGACGAACCCCAAACCCTGTCTGCTGATAAGCAGCCCTGTCTGGTGTGCATCTGCCTTTGGAGGTGGGAAGGGAGGGCAGGATCCATCCCTGGGTGCTGCAGCCACAGCAACAAGGAGGGATGATGCTTGGAGACCTTTCCCAAGGCAGGAGGCATGTGGCTCCTGGAAGCTCAGAACTCCTCTTCCCCATGGGGTCAGGGTTGCCTGCAAGGGATTCCTGCCCTCCACAGGCATTTGAGCATCACTCACACCCAGCAGCAAGAGGACAACAGCCCAGCACACCCTGCTTGGGGGTTCGCTGGGCACAGTGGGGTCCCAGGAGCTGCCAGCCCTGGTCATCATGCACAGGCTACCATAGAAGCTGCAGCCAAGAGCCAGCCTTGCCTGGGTGGGCTCCTTGCATGGATTGAGAAGAAAAACCATCCCAGGGAGCCCCATGTGTTGTGCGGATGGTGCACGATGCCACAGGGATGGGACGGATCAGTGGAATGGGGAAAGGGACATTCCTAGGCTTTGGAGAGGACGTTAGCCCAGGAACACTGGGAATGGGGATGGACCTCCCATCAGCTCCCGGCTCTTACCTTGCGGTGCAGCAGCTGAGCCTGTGGCCCCCCATTGCCTTCGATCTCATAGCGGACGCTGTTGAAGAGCGCGACACCGAACTGCTCCTTATAGCACCGGCAGAACTCCCCCAGCACCTTGCCCGTCCTCTCTGCAGCGGGACAGGGCAGCTGCGTTAGCAGGGGATGGACCCTGGGGGCTCCTGCTGCACCCCCCCGGCACCCCGCTGTGGCACCCTGCCCCTGCCCTCCCCGTCCACACAGCGGCTCGTGTGGGCTCAGCAGGACCTCTTTGTTCTGGCCTTTCACGCTAATGCCATGGATTCCTCTCCCCAGCAGGAAATTCCTGACATTGAGCTGGTTCTGGTGACGCTGATGGCTTCCCGTGCCTCGTCCACTGAGATTGGGGGCAATCCCCCCATTTTCCAGCCCCAAGCATCACTCACCCCCACCCGACCCCATTGTGCCCCATAAGGACCAGGCTACAGAAGGGTGGGGAAGCTCTGGTGCTCCAGCCAGGAGATGAGAAGTGGAAATGACCCACCAGACACCCCATGTGAGGCAAGGACCCCCACATCACCCCCAGCTCCAGAGCATCTTGCTGGAGAGCATCCCCTTCCCTGGCAGCCCCACGGATGCATGAAGCAGGAGGGACATTTCA